TATGCATTGGATCCTTCACCAAATACAACAGTTTAAAAAACTCCTCTAACAACATCACTAACATTTCTCTCTACTTCTTGCTTCAAAAGTGTAGAGAAAAACTCCAAAAAAATGCAGTGAAAATAATCAATTAAAGAAAAGGAAAAGATGGTGATCTATTGATTACATTTGATGTAGGATTTCTCTAATAACCCACCATTTTCTCTTCTCATCTCCCTAAAACCCCCACCACCGCACCCCTTCATTTCATGTGCTCCAATGTTGATCAATTTTCATACTTGAGAATGTCAAAGAAGAGAAAAAGGAAATTAAATTTGATATTCTTTCAGAATTTAAGGTTGAAAATTCATGTTCTTCACAATATAATATAACAAAAAGAGAAGAAGATGATATAATAAAGAGCAAGAAATTGAGTTAACAGTTTCTTCAAGAGAATCTGAAAAGTCATGTCTAGCACAGTCCGAATTAGGAGAATACAATAAGGTGTAGCAAGGAGAGGAATTCCAGTTGAAGAAAGTTGTACATTTGATTTGCGTTCGCTTCCACCGTCGTAATAGAGAATTCCAGTTAAAGAAGATGAAAAGGTGGAAGAAGGAAGACGTTAATTTTTGAAATTGGGAGAATAAGGTTTTACTGAAGAAACGGGTGAAATGAGGGAGAATTTGGTGATTTTTTAGTTAAAAACTGAATGACAATTTTGTATTTTTATCAATTAAAACCTTTTGATATTTTTTTTTTAATTTTTTTTTCTGTTTCAAAGGCATTTGTCCAACATCATTGTGTTACCTAGCTATTTGGTCAAATTTCCCTATTTAAAATGATATATCAATTTGTATTACTTAATTGACACTTAGAAGGGTCTTGATACATGGCTTCGCTCCACTCTGTTTGCAGTAGAATTGATTTCCTATCCCCACTGTTGATGTGGGAGAAAGAATCGTACGTATGGTTCTCTGAATGTATAATTGTCGCGAAGAACTATAAATAAGGTTATCTTGTTGTATCAACGGTGAGAAATTTTTATTATTCCCAATGTGGGCAGGAGAATGGATATGTTGTTTGCAGTATTATATTCAGCCAACACGTACCTTATTTGATAGATTATTAAATGCACTTGCAATTTGTCTTTGTCAAGAGAAGATGGGAGTAGCCCATCTTATGTTTCGTTTCAATACTGAATACAGGTTATTGGCTCGAGGGATAAGTGAATCTCTCGAAGCTGCATCAGATTCAGACAATCGTTGGAAAAATATTTATGATGGGTAGACAGATGCCCACAATTGTAAAGGTGCAATGCTATGTGTACAAAATTGTTAGGCAAAATAAGTGTGACAAGATCTAGACCATTGATTTCAAAAATAGTTTTTGAAATCAATAATCTATATCTTGCCACACTAATTTTGTAACCCAATTTTGTAAATTAATTTAGTACACAACATTGCTCATTTTAAAGGGAGAGAAAATGAAAATCTTGTTCACTGCATGACAAAAATGATCTCCTACCCATGTTGAATATGATTTTTTGGAGCAAATGCAACAAAATTTTGTAGATATCCTGAAAAGAAGTACGTACTATTTATCATGGTCTTGCACAATGAAATTCACACACAGAAAAAAAAAGGTATGTAACATAGTCGTATGCTACAATATAATTTTTATAACCGACCTCATCTACGGAAAAAATAGATAAAAAGTATACAACTGATTTCTCCAAAGAGCATCTCAAAAGGAAGCAGAAGACGAAGATGAAGACAATCACCTCCATTAGTTGCTCGTGAGAATTGTAGCTCGACCAATTCCAAAATCTATTGGCAAGAGATGTGACTAGTACCATAACTAATTGCAATCAGGCTTGAGTCGGACATATTTGTCGCCCAGGGACGAGGGCCTTTAGATTTTCCTAGTAAATTGTAAGCATAAGAAGGCCACATCACATCAATGCCACAGTGTTTTCCAACACCCATGTTGATCATTTTCTGAGTTCTATCAAGAACTACAAGGCTTGAGAATGTCGAAAAGGTGTTCCCTACAAACACATTTGATCTGAAGCAAACTTCATAATCAATGGCTGATTGAATGAGATATGGCTGCTTCTCGTATAATTCAACAACACCCAATTTTTTCTTCTCGAAAGGAAGTAACCCCTCCTTCCAGCCAGACAGTATCTTGTTATCTTCGAGAAGACTATCAGCCGCAGCGATGTAAACCGTAATCGGCTTTTTCAGGCCAATTATGTTTCTCACTCGTTCCATAATCTCGTCCTTACTGCTACAAATTTCACTAATGTTCGACCTCTGCTCCATCTTCTTGCAGTGAATCATCCAGTCCTTCTCAATTCTCATGTGAACTGCTACATAACCAGTAGCAATATTATGGTTTTCTTGCAATCCAATCTGTCTAATCTTAGAAATAACCTTATCAGCTTGCCTAGAGATATCTTCCACCAAAACTAAGCATTCAAACACATTTGAATAGTCCTTTACAGGCCAATGATCATGCCATAGAAATGGGTTCTTTCCTGTTATTCGGACAACCTCGTAATCATCATAGGGATGCGCGCTAAACTGTCTCAACTGATCTAAATCTTTCTTGATCGTCCACCTCCTCCCACTTCCCTTTTGAAGCTCAAATACATTGCTTCGATTTGAAATCTCCCAATATCTACCCAATTGGACAAACCCCTTGCATAGAGAATTGAAGGTTTCAAACTGGAAGACCTTATCAAATGAAATTGGTTCCAACTTATCAACATCTTTGTAAAACAGTGAAGCGCTCAAGCTAGGCATCAGAAGAGTTCGATTCAACAGTCTTGCAGTTAAACAAGCTCGTGCCAAGGCAATTTTCTGATTGTTCAATCCCCATACAATCTGCGGAACCTCTAAAAACTTTGAGTTTCGACTATGAAATTCGGAATAGATTAATGGTTTGTTGAAAGTAAATAATTTGTTCGGTTCAATCCCACGAAAGCTAGAAAATCTGAGCAGAAAAACTGCTCTAAGAATCAAAGCAATGACGATCAAGGCCACACATTTACAAGCCAGAGAATTCAATTTCAGCCCAAAGAATCTCAAATGCTTGTATTTTGATAAGTCCATTTGAGATTCAGATACAAATTTCCAATATTCAAATCATTCCAACCATAATCAAAGCCCCCAGCCCTTCTCAAATCAATCTAAATCCAAAGGAATGCGCATTCATGAGCATCCGTATCAATCAATTCACAGGTAAAACAATTTGGCTCATCTGACGAAAGACGAATTGTAACAAATTCTGATAAAATCAAGAACAAACAAGTTCTTACCTCAATCCAATAGACATTCAAATCCAGAAACGAATTCCTAAATAATTAGAAAACCCACGAAAAGTTGCTGCATGCAATCCACGAGGTGTGTGTGTGGGAGAGAGAAATCTGACATTTTAAGTTGTTCAAAACGGACTCATCAAGCAAAGTGATTCCAAGACAAAACGCATGAATTTTTGAAGACAAAAACGAATATGAAATCTGATGAAACCTAGACGATCAATTAATGCGTCGGAAATAATCCATAAAAGTCAAACTTGTCGTCATTGGAAAGCAAAACAAGCCATCACAATCATGATATACAACTCATAAACAAATAAACTGCTTAATTTTATAAATAGCAAATTCAGATTTCAGGCTAAATTCATCTAATCTATCTAAATTGGAAAAGGGTCTATCTAGAACAAGTAAATTTAAAATTTCACACGTAAATTGAAAATATTACGAAAACTTTTCGGAAATTGGGACTTTCAAAGTAGAAAACAGGAGAAAAAGATGATTGAGAAACAAAACATACCAAAAAAAGGCAGTGTCAGAGATGTCTTCAAAACGAAATTTTAAGGAAGGCCTTCTTAGGTTGAACTGGGCTGGGGGCCCTCCCTTGGGGAACTTTTGCCAGGCCAACATTTTTCATAAATTATCCGCTGCTACCATAATTATTGCATACAATGCCGAAACTTATAGTCGTAAATTTAGTTGGGAAAATAACTCATTTTTATGACCCAGACGAGAGCTTAATGTCTCGCTTGGGTTTGCTTTAAGGGTGCGTTTAATTACGATTATAGAATTTGTATGAATAGAAAATAAATTTTAGACAATTCAATTATTTATAACTTATTTGTATGAAAATTATTAATTAAATGTGTTTGATTGATTTAATTTTCAACTTAGAAAATACTATACTTGTCCATTTTTTATTGATGGATAGATGAGAGAGAAAGAGGGAGCGAATTATTTGAAAAATAAAAATCACCACTTACTAAACAAAATGTTTTCCTTATTTTTGTGAAAAATATGATCGCATGATCAAAAATTAAAAAAAAAATTTGATGGAAAAAAATTTCAATCAAGCACCACAAAAGTAGAAATTTGGATGAAAAAAATTACATTTTGCATGAAAAATAAAACATTTAAAACACTCTCTAAGTGTTCATCTATCTACAGGACTTGAATTATCAATATTCTTTAAGCATCATCTTAGAATCATCCCACCAACTGAAACATTTAGAAGGACAAAAATTTTGAAACTACATGGAGGATTGGTGAATTCATTAGCAATTCTATATGGAAGTAGGTAGTGACGGACCCAGGACAAAAGTTCACCCCGGGCGGACCGATGTTGATCGTTGACTGTGGGATTTGTTGGAATTTTGT